ATCTGAGTGAGATTTCTCAGAGATCATTCTTGGGAACCTGTGAGAATCTTCTTGCCTCCTTTAGCCTGCCATCTGCCAGGATGGGTCAGGATTTTGCTCATTAGATGTGGTCTCCTTGTGAAGCATCAGGATGATACTCTTTCCAGAGACCCTCCTCTTTGCAGATTGTGTACTTGTTGGCTTCCTGTTCTCTCTTCCTCTCCATTCCCCTGATCTGTACCAGAGTTGCAAGGCCCTTAGAGGGGTTCTGTCATCCTCTAGGTGCTGGCTGACCTTGAAGGGCAAGGGCCAAAATATTGGCTATGTTTTTCTTGGCCCTTTTACTTCCCTAACTTTGGTCTCCAAAGTTTTTGGTTTTAAACATCCAGCAGACCAGTTTCCCCAGTCATAAAGTGGAGTAACAGGTTATACCTTCAATATCTATAATTTTAGAGTTACTCCTTCCATTTTTTCGGGGGATCAGTACATACATTTTACTTTCTTATAAAACTCTTTTGCAGGGTTGGGGTTGTAGCTCAGTGGTAGAGCACTTGCTTGCTACAGGTGAGACACTGGGTTCTGTCTTTAGCATCAAATAAAAACAAATAAATAAATTAAGGTTTAAATTATTAAAAATTTTTACAATTTGCCCAAATCCTTACTTATGTTTTGAGTTATATCCCCTGATTATTTTGAGATCATAGTGATCTTTAAAACAACAAAATATAACAACTTTAAATAAGCTTGATGCTTCGGAGTCATTCTAACATGGAGAAGGGTGAGAGGCAGAGCCTTAGATCAAGTGAGGCTGGCCTCTTGACAAAGCTTAAAGTGTTTTATTTCTAAAGCTGAACTTTGCCCATTTTTTTTAAAAAAAATATCATTCTACAACATTCTGTTGTATTTTCCTGAGTATATCTGAATATCAATTAACTTAATACATTACATGTGAAACATGAATCAAAGGTTGAGTTTTTCCTTTTGGTGGAAAAAGGTGGCAAACCGTTTGCATGTTCTACATTGTCAACATTTACAAATCAGTCTCTCCTTAATTCCTTCCCCCAAACATTTAAACTCCCATCTCAGTGTAAAGAGTAGCACAAAAAAAATTTATATATAACTTCTTGACAACAGGTTACATTTATCTAGTTACAAAACATTAAGAGACATAAATACCAACCAAACCTGTTATTTCTGTATAAATCTGAAGGACACTATTGCTACAGACAGTTTAATTTGGAGGACACCAACTTGGCAATGCACTCTCCTAAGCTTTACATTTTAAAAGGCTTGTTTACTTGAAGAACATGAATATATCTAATATATAAAGAAGCCAGTAACGGTTAGAGGCACTATTATACAGTTGTCCTTATATTAACTAAGTTTAACTTTTAAAGTAATATTTAGAATTCATAGTGTATAGTAACAATAATCACAAGTCTGCATGGGTTAGCAATACTAGCAAAAATCAAAAGAATCTACTTATATCTCTTATACATTTAGGAAACAGTGTTAATGGTCAGAAATAGACTTAGTCAAAGCAAGCAAATATAAGACAGATCTTCAAATGGCAGTGTGGCCCTTGTATGTCAGATAAAAGTGAACACTTATTGGTTACCTTGCTGATAAACCTACATTAACTTTCATTTATAAACTTTTACATAACACTTAGACAAGTGTTCTCAAATATATACATATCTCTAGCCACATATATTTAGGGTGTAAACTATATTGTAATAACCTAAAATAACAGCTGTTTATTTAACCACTTACAAAGTAATAATTTAAAAGATTTTAAAACAGCAGCCGGGGTTGTGGCTCAGTGATAGAGTGCTTGCCTAGTATGCATGAGGCACTGGGTTCAATCCCTGGCACCACATAAAAAAATAAATAAAGTTATTGTGTTCATCTACATCTAAAAATATTTTTAAGAAGGCTTTAGAACAAATGCAAACCATAATTCCTTTAAGATTTGCTTTTCCTAAGTAATAAAACCTGATGAAAGAAAATTGTCTTGATAAGAACAAATCAGTGTTTCAGACTTAGCTTCATATCAGTAAATTAAAACTCAAATAACTGACTGTGCTAATTATACCCAATTTAATCACATACACAAACTTTTTGAGATTTACCTTCCACAAACCTTCTACAACTTACTTTGACATTCTAAAACTTTTTCCATCCTTAGTTTTGTCCTCTTTTTAATCTTGGACTTAAAACTTTACCATGATTCTTTAATCTTCTAATTTTCTACACTAAAACATATTATCATACATAAAACTTTCTTCTATCTCTTTTGTAGTTTCAGACCATTTCTTAAATTCATATTCTGAAACAATCCATATGAAAGTTATCTGTGCATTTAATTCACACAACAAATTTCATCACAGGAGAGATTGAATAATCCTTTTTCTCCAGGTTTGCATTCAAAAGGTTGGATATTTTTGAGCATCGCCTGTCTTTCTTATTATTATCACAATGCTATCAAGTTTCAGTGAGATCCCCACTGTCAATTATACCTAGAGGCTCCTTTCAGACCTTTTTCTTACAGTATGCATATTGATAGTCAATGGAGGAGGCCCTTTCCATCCTTTTTTTTTAAGGCTTCCTTGAAGATCCCTTTGCAGAGGCTGCCTGTAAAATATGGGTTGGTTTTAGTTTCTGCTTGGAGTATTTTTATTTTTTATTTTTCTTTTCTGGGTACAGTTGCTTATCCTGCCATTCTCCTCATGTGTTTAGTTTTATGGGATACTGTCACAGCAGGAATTGCTCTGTGTTACAGTGTTGAACGTATTCTGTTCAAATGGGGTGTCCTGTCAGATCTTAAAAGAGGTAACCATTCTTATCCCCAGGTTGTAAACTAATAGAGCTGAAGCCTACTGCAACATTCTTTGTGGCCAGCAGCCTCCACAACTCCATCCTACCCCATGGGCAAAAGGGGCTATAAGGCAGGACAGTGGCCAGCTCCTCCTTGCCCATTTTTCTATAGCCCAGGAAGCTTTTTTTTTTTTTTTTTGCAGCCCAGGGTAGGTGTCCCTTAGCCACAGAGAGATGATTTATAGTTTCCTGGGGCTAGTCTGAGAAACAGTGCTGGGAGTGCCTGTACAGGTTTGAAAGGATTTAAATTTTTTCTTAACCCTTTCTTCTAGTATACTACTATCTTTGCATACCAGAGGCAGTGCCTTTTGCACCCTCAACTTAGTTTCTGACCGTACAGACTCCTTATTGTGCAATTGCATAGACACCTATACAGACAGAATCTCTTCCATTTACTTAACTTCTGACACACCAACTCCAAATATGAGATTTTATAATAATCCAGAAAACCATTCAAAGACCAGATCCTTACAGAAAAACATCTTTGTTTGTTTTTTAGATAGGCTTACATCTATAAGTGGCCTATAAATCTTGGCCAATCAAGATTATTTTCCCAAGAGACCACCTATAGGATCAAACACAGCATTGCCTATATCTTAAAGTACTAGTAACAGATATATATATATAAAAAAAGAAATAAATAAATAAACAATGAGAGTAGTTACTAAACCTAAGGCCAACAAACAGATAACAACCAAAAACATACCAGAAGGGAATAAAAATTCCTAGGTTCTTGATTCCCTCTTAACCATGATTCCTACACTGGCACATCACAGGTGTCTCCACAAAGAGGGATCCAACGTTCCCATGAAGAGGCACCAGTGTATGGAATTAAGAGTCTCAGCATACATACCAAGGGAATTATCAAGTGGCCAAGGGGGTCATGACTTTACTGTTTTGTTTCCTTTTTCTCAAAGTGGACCTCAATGCATAAGCCTGAATCATTCAAGAAGAGAAGAGGGGAGTTCCTTGATGCAAAAGGAGCTTTGGCAGTTGCTGGGACATTCCTCAATCCATTTGTTTACTCACAGGAGCCTTGGGGCTCCCCTGCCCCCATTTACTCCAAAGAAACTTATCCACCTAAATCTCTAGCAGTTGGCTCTCAGCAAGTTCTCCAGCCACCTTGCATTCTCAGCATGGAAATGGGGTTCCTTGGAGAATCACTAGTGTCCAAAAGAACTAGAGTATAACTGCTCCTGTGTCCTCTGGGTTGCCAATTTGTTACTGAAAGCTCAGTCCTTGTCCCCAATGTCAATCCAATAATGAGGTTTTAAGCAAAAGAAAAAAAAAAAAACTAAAAATGATATTTGATATTTTTCGCACTTGCTATTATATTAGTATGATTCACTATGTTTTTATTTGTAAATATTCAGTTTCACTTCAAGTTGTATTCGTTTGTATGAGTACAGCACAAATTGTCCATTCCTGTTTCAATGGGCAGTTGAGTCATTTCCATTTTTGTTGTCTTGAACAGTACTGTTATAAATGTCTTCTTACTTGTTGCCAAAGACACATGTGAAAGTTTGTACAGTATATATACCTTGGAATGTAACTATTGGGCCATAATGTATGGAAAAGTTAAACTTAAAAGATAATGCTGAATTGTTTTGCAAACATTTACAATTTGCACTCCTACTATTAATGTTTGAAAACTTATTTAATCCCCATTCTAACCCTTGGTCTTATGAGACTAATTTCTGACAATGGAATGCTATGTAATGTGAAAGCTACCTAATGGTGTGTGATTTTAATTCACATTGCCAAGGTTAGTAATGAGATTGTGCATCTCTTGGTGTGTTTATTGACTATATGTGTTTTCTCTAACCTTTCAATTATAAGCCTTTATTAGTCAATAATAATTAATACTTTCTATTTTTGTATTTGCAGGGACTGCATTATTCTAATCACTGTATGTGTATATACATATATAGTGCACTATAGACTGCACTAATCTAATCACTATGTATATATAGTTATTGAAGAGAAATTAACATACCATTTAGTATATAAAATGATGGGTAAAATTCAAATAAAATACATACAATCAAAATATCTTAATAAAACAATAGAAAGTAATCTTATTTTGAAATTATTTTTGATACTTTTATTTCTTCATAGCTTGATATTTATTTTTCTTTTGACAGAAAGATTTCGAGATTTACTACTGCCTCCATCAAGTCAAGACTCTGAGATTGTGCCCTTCATTCAGTCTAGAAATTATCCCAAGTAAGAACCAGAAATTTGCTGGGTATGGTGAAGGGAAGGGCCACTGGGAGACATTTGGGCAGGCAAAGATAAAATGTAAATTTTTTCAGTATTTTGAAAAATCCTGGGTAATCTCACTTAACATACAAGGGCATCTTCTGCACTACAGTGTCTTGAGACCCTCATAGATGGTTTAGAGAAGAAACAGCTGCTTCCAAGGGCAGCCCAGCTGTGACAGGGAAATTTCTGCCAAGTGTAGGCATTAAGCTCTCTGCATTAGTATCTGGTCTTGCTTCTTTTTTGCTTGATACTGTGTCAATGGGACAGACATTTGGGGGGTGATCCCACATCTGTTTTCCTATTTTCTGTCCTTTAAATGTGAGAATTCATTCATATTGTAACAATTGTTTTTCAAAATAATTACATTGGATGTGATTTTAATGATTTCTACATATTTCTCTTGACCATCTTTATTACTGGGGCAAATGAAATCTTCTGACCCTTCTTATCTGGGACAGATCTTTTCTTCTCTCATATGCTACAAGTGTACTTATTGGTTGAAGGAATATGACTTCATCCTCCTGAAAGATAAGGAAGTGCCAGGCCTTTTATTACACATCCTCTTTCCTAGAGGCTGATGGATGCTGGAATCTTGATCCTTCCTGTGGAATCTTGGAACACCTTCTGTGAGTTTCTGCTTCTCTTTACTAGCTAGTATGCAACAAACTAAAGAATGATGACACTTATATATGAAATATTAAAGGAGGTCACCAAGTTAAAGAATCAGTTTGTGATATAAATTCCCTCTCAAACTCATCACTATAGTGCATGACTCATTCCTTGACTCAACTTTATTTTCTGAGGGAAATTTTCCTCAACTATTTAGCTTTGATAACACAATTCTAGTAACAAAAATAAATATAGGATCTTAATTGTCTTGCTTATGCATCTTTTCAAACACTAATCCAAGCTTAATCTTTGGCTGCAAACCTCAAATCCCCTTATAGTACACAGGGACATGCACATGCATGAATATCCTTGCATATATTGTTCTTCAGGTATAGGTTGATGGAAGCATGAATGTGCCTGAAGTGATCATGTGTGACTATCAGTATTTTTACACATGGCTCCTGTTTGCAGAAGCTGATGATGTGGTAATGCCTATTCTTCTCCCTCCTAGGCTCACTGCCTGTCATCTTTGCTTGAAGAGGAAGTCACAATGGTTTCTCTGATGATAATCTATTTGGTGCTGTTTGTCTTCATTTCCTTAACTGTACTGCCCTGCATGTATCCTTCTTGTCTTAGATTACTTTGGGGATAAAGTCTTAGTCATGTGGGCTTCTATAACAAGTCACCATAGATTGAGTATCTTAAACAACAGGAATTTATTTCTTACAGTTCTGGAGGCTAGAAGTGTAAGCTCAAAGTGTTGACAAATCAGGTGGCTAGAGGGGGTGATCTTCTTGGTTTGCAGATGGCTGTCTTCAGGGTATCCTTACACATTAATTCCATTCTAATGTCCTATTTATCTTCCAAATGTTTCATTTTCATGTACCATCACATTAGGGCTTCAGAGTATGAATTTTAAGGAGACACATATTTTCAGTCCATAGCAAATAATTATGCTTTAATTATTATCAGATACTGTGTAGCAATGCTTCTTCAGTGCATATCTTTTGGGGACAGATATTTGTTTTGGCACATGTAAATTAAAAGAACAAAAGTCATCATCTGATATCATACACACTATCTCATGGCAAGGAAGTGCATAGACTGTGTGATAGATTGCAGTAGCATCTGGCTGATCCCGGGGCAACCTACTGCCTTTGTGTTTCAGTTATACCTATATGGAACGGTGTTGAAGAAAACATCTAACACTCAGGAGTGTTATGAAGAATCCATGAATAAATATAAAATACTTAGAACCAAGCTTGGCATGTAGCAAATTCTCCATTTTAGTTGCTAGTGCCATTTATTATTCACTAAAATTTTTATACATTGAATCAACTAGATTTGCATGTTTCTATACACCTTGGGAAAATAGGTTATCCATTGATTTGAAGGAAGTTCTATCTCAGGATAATTTTGTCAGACTTATCTGGTTAATATGTGAGGAGGAACTAGTATTGGATATTTTTAAATTATCCCTAGAGGTTAACATGAGGCACTGTTTTGCTAACCACTTACCATTTTTATGAACTTAATTTTTTTCTGAAAGCATGTCAATTAAAAGTTTCTGAATCTGCATGATATTTATATGAATGATTCTGGATTAAATACAGTTTACTTAAATTATAGAACATTAAGTTTTTTCATCTTTCCACTCAGTGTCTAGTTTGACAGTAGAATTTTAGGAGGTATAAGTAAGACAAAAGATATTAGAATTCTGTCTCTCTGTGCTTTGGCAAGGGTGTATTGAATTGTCCAGGGAAGAGTGAGGGAGCAGAGAGTCCAGGCATGTAAGGGATGTTGAGTAAAAGAGGAGAGAGTTGTGGTAAGGGCCAAAGGGATAAGAATGCATGGGCAGAGATTTGTGTATATCTAGACCTGATTAGTGATATCTGTGGGTTTAAATGCTCTTATTTTTTCAATTATGTTCTCTCTAACATATACTCTGATTTTTTTCATTATTGCAGATAACTGAAAGTCAATGAATTTTTAAAATGTGACAAAAAACTTTCTGGAAAATCAAAAATTTAGTCAGACAATTAGAATTTGTTTCTTTCATTCATGACATAATATCCCTATTTACATTGAGATTTCCCCCTCACTTTTCTGGTTGTTTTACTGATTCATTAGATAAAGATTCTATTATAAAGAATAGAATCAACTAATATATAGTTTAGGCAGTTGTTTGCCACATGCTATGTAATGTCAGAGAGTTAATTTTTTAGAGTAAAACCACAATATAGATTCACAGCTCACTAGTGAATGTAGGCTGTGGTAATTTGGATTTGGGATAGGATTTCTAAGTAGTCAACATAGTACCTCTATAATCTTTAGAATCTTGTTATCAAGAGAAATATAACAAATAATGAAATATTGAAAAGTGTACCTTTTATTAGTTGAAAAATGCTAAAGAAAAGCAAAAGTGAAGTTCCTGAAATGTGTGTGTGTGTGTGTGTGTGTGTGTGTGAGAGAGAGAGAGAGAGAGAGAGAGAGAGACAGACAGACAGACAGACAGTGAGGGAAAGAAAGTTTAAGGAAAGACCATTTAAAAAGTACTACCTGAAGTGGTTATGAGAAACATTGTACTAAAATATAATAGTGTGCATTTATCATGTTTTTATTTTCATGAGCTCTCAATGACCTATTTCCAAAGCCTGGGACATCTCTCCCTCATCAGGATGTAATGGTAGATAGAAATTGCTCTGTGAAAATTCTCAAGAGCATGAATGTCAGAAGGAGACAGATGTATAGAAGAAAAAAAAAGAATGTGTACTTAATACAAAACGCATGTTGATGATTTATAGATTGGGAGAAAGAAATGAGAAAGTAACAAGTTTTACTGCTTATTCTTAGTGGATTTAGATTTATAATCTATTTAGAATAGAGGATGGTTATAAAATATCCTTATAAATGCAGCATGGATCTGTAAAGTGGTTGAGGATATTGGCTGTAATTTTATCCACAAATGACATGCAACACTTTTGGCAATTAAGCCATTAAAACATGACCCAATAGTTCTGGAAGGTTTAATCAAAGAATGTAAAAAAGTACCACTGTGAAAATACAGGAATAAAATATTCCTACTTTGTTCTTATAATAATCACGTTCTCTGAACTGCCTAATATCAGAACTGTTTTGAGAAGAATATTATTTATTATAAAATTCAGAGCTGTTCTTTGATTCAGTTTGTTGCCAAAAAACAGCTTTGATTGTTTGGACAATAAAAATAGTGCCCCAGCCCAATCTCATTTTCAATTGGATGCTTCAAAATGCCTTCAACTGGTAATGTTGGGTAATATATCCTTAAACTGGACAGATGCTGATGACCTTTCCAGATTTCATTTGTTCTCCAAATTATCTTCCTTTTCCTTCCCTAACAAAGTTTTAAATCCCACTTCTATAAACCCTCATGGTCTCTTCAGTAATTTTTGTTAAATAATCATCTTTTTTACTTAATTTTTTAAATGGCTTTTAAAATTTATATATGACAATAAGATTCATTTTGACATAAAAGCATGAAATATAATTTATTATCATTCCATTCCCAGTATACATAACTTTAATGCACTTTTACTTAGCTAAGTTACTCTCATTTATAATAATAAAGAAATAATAATGATACATACTGAATATAGTACATGCCAGGAATTGTGATATGTGCATTATTTCACTTAATTGTTATCATCCTACTATGAGTTAGGTGGAATTATTTTCCCAGTTTTACAGATTAGAGGGCTGAGATTCAAGTAAGTAAATACCTTACCCAAAGTACAGCTGGTTCTTAAACCCAGATCTGTTTGCCCCTAGATCATATTTACTTCTGTGTGCTACCCCATTCATTCATGCACCCATCCTTCCATTCATTCACTCATCAAATATTTGTTGATAAGTTACCATGTTCCAGAATTAGTCACAGTTATTCAGGACACAAAAGTGATTAGGGCATAATATGTGGCTTTGAAGCACTTAGAGTCCAGTGGGGAAAAACAGAGAAGTTCAGTTGGTAAATTATTACTATAATTTAGACCTACAGGTAGAGAAATGCACTATATTCTATTGGAAGAGAACAGAAATTCTCCTCCTAATTTATATTAAGTTTTATTTTCTCCTTGAGTTAAATTGACCAAATCATGAGAGTATTTTTAAAAGACAAAACTAAGAGCATGTGATATCATGGAAGTGCATGGGCCATTGAGGGATTGCCTCTAACTGCCTGATGATAGCATATGTGTGTTTATACACATATGTACATATACATACACGAACATGCACTCAAGGGGTGAAATCATAAAGAGAAATGTAGACAGAGGCCAGTTCATGAAGGTCCTAGGCTGCAATTTAAAGTAAATTTA